CTGGTGAAGACGTGTTCTATGATTTTAATACTGCAAAATGTTCTCTCAAAGGTAATTGGAGATTGTTGTTTTGACAACACTCGGCATACATTTTGGGCAATAAAACGGTTTCATCAAATTAACAACCACAATTCATTAAGGATCATGAGAAATTATATATTTCGTGAAAGGTTTATTGTCATTAGTTTAGAGTGGGGTTCAGTCATCCTTGGTATGGTCCTCAACGAGCATAACCGTCCACTGTCAGCGACTTCAATGGGCATTACTTGAAAACCTTACTGGTTACTGGCACACGTTTCTAAATAACCGTCCACTGTCAGCGACTTCAATGGGCATTACTTGAAAACCTCACTGGTTACTGGCACACGTTTCTAAATAACCGTCCACTGTCAGCGACTTCAATGGGCATTACTTGAAAACCTCACTGGTTCCTGGCACACGTTTCTAAATAACCGTCCACTGTCAGCGACTTCAATGGGCATTACTTGAAAACCTCATTGGTTACTGCACACGTTTCTAAATAACCGTCCACTGTCAGCGACTTCAATGGGCATTACTTGAAAACCTCACTGGTTACTGCACACGTTTCTAAATCATTAATAATCATTAATCATTAATATTACCACCTCCACATAAAGATTTCTACGTTGACATGTTCATTGGCATGAATTCTGTTCCGTAATAAAACCAGCGTGAACGTGTAACTGCGAAGCAGTCTCATAATGAGATAGTTAGTAGCATGCAATGGATTTTTTAAATTAATTAGAGGGAGAATTATGTAACCAGCGTGGGGTCATTGCTATGTAGCTTCCTTGCCACTGGACTAATGGGACAATTAGTAAAACATGGCGATCAGATACTCGTTTACGCAACGGATTTTGCCGCTTATTGTGTTAGAGGGTTTAATGAAAAGATGGTGAACATAACGTGCAACACCTGGAGAATCGAATGTATTTGTATTTTTCTTATGTGTACAGTCGGTCGTTTAGTCTCGTGAACAATGTAAATTAACAAGAGCAGACGTTTACATTTTCTTTATCATACTAAACGGTATCCAGGTGAACGCTTTTGTATGAACATGTGAGCCATATTTCGTACATTGTAAAGAGAAGGCATCAGTTGATTGCATCATGGTGACTGTTACTGGTTGTGTTAAGTAATCTCTGACTTGATTGATTTCATGATTTAACAGTTTCATCAGCTTCATACACCCCAGGCAATATGATAGACGTGTGTAAAGCTACACACTGTACTAATATGTATATCTGCTGACCACAATGAAAATTCAAATAATTAGTTTCCACTTCTTCTCGCAGGATACTGAATTTGTTTTGCATTGAAGTTGGAAATTGAAAGCAAACGCTGTCTATTTAATATCTATTTGACCATCCATCATTCTTGCAATTGTTTAAATTGTTTTCGTCACGATATGGCTGAGATATTGCCGATGTGACGTTAAATAATAACTCACTCACTCACTCACTCATTCTTGCAAATGCTGAAATTATTGAAAAAGTAATCTGAGGCTGGGTAATTTTGTGCAATAGTAACTTAATATATTCAGGTCTGGACTAAAACATAAATGTCAAGCTGCATGGCCATTACCATGTGCGAAAAGGTGTACGTTTGTGCCGAAAAAAATTTTCAAAGATAAGATTAGTCTATAAGCCATTAGCAGTTGTGTATTATGCACTTATTGAACAGACTTTCAAATCAAACATGATCAAATCATGACTCAAGAGCGAGTGAGTGAGTGAGTTTAGTTTTACGCCACACTCAACAATATTCCAGTTATATGGCGGCGAGTCTGGAACAGATAATCCAATGATCAACATCATGAATATCGATCTACGCAATTGGGCACCGGTAACATGTGTCAACCAACATGTGTCAGCCTGACTACCCGATCCCCTTAGTCGCCTCTTACAACAAGCATGGGTTACTGAAGATCAATTCGACTCATTGACTAAGACTCGCTCTGTTCGCATTACAAAGAAAATCTGATGTAGTTCACTTTTGGTGCAAACAATCCCGAATTACACTTTATGTCGTAATCTATGGCGTTTACCTTTGATCTGATATGTGCAATACTGTCTGTCAAGACATGATATCCTGACTAAGACACCGTTTCTATAGACTTTTCTTACCTTGCAGTTATACTCAGAAATGACGTACCTGCCACACGCACATTATACAAGTGTATTGACGCATCGATTGAACCGCCCTACACGTGTGTTACATCAACTCTTTGTGTCTTCACATCTCAGGCGTAGCATAGATAGATTGCATGCAACTATGAAGCGTAGGGTACAAGGTTTTAAAGTGGATCTTAACACACGAGGATCTTGGAAGACTGTATTGAGACGGGCAAAGTTACATCAAAGGAGGATGACATTTCGCCATCAGTATCATCATGATATACGCGAGTACATTGCTGGGACTGTACGAGAAATCAGCCTTGAACATCTGTCAGATATATTATTTATATCTGGAGAACCAACAGAGGCATGCGACACCTGGATTGGTAGAACAGCTGGCTGGATATGTTACTAGCGATGTATATTTGTCGTGAATAGGTGAAGCGTATGAATATTTGGTTATTGTTGTGTCCGATCCATATCCACAAACTGCCATGTATATTAGTAACAGCCGGGGGAAGTAACATGTAAATAATGATTTAGCTTCAGATAATGGAATGTGTCTTACCACAACAGACAATAAGCATCGTATTAAGAAACTCAAGATCAACATCTGACACTGATACACGATTTAGTACATACATTAAATTTGGAAACTGATGGCCTGGATGTAGGACCAGTGTTCGAAATAGTTTCCAAAATTGGCAAGGCAGTCGGGCTAGCTAAGCCTGAATGTTACTAGCCCACAAAATAATTCACTAGCCAGGAATTTGAATGTAGAAACTAATCAAAATATTGGAAAAGGTAAAATACCATCATTTATCAGACTATAATCTTCCATGATTTAAATGTGTATTATAACTTAACAAGTCGGAGAGAGTGATATATCTAAATATGACCCAATGAAAATTCACTAGCCAGTCGGGCCAGTGACTATGGAGATTTACTGGCCCGACTGGAATTTTACTAGCCACAGGATAGCGGGCCAGAGATTATTTCGCACACCATTTAGGACTAATCAGACAGTGTTGAGATCTGTTATTACTTTAAGTCTAGCTTTAAAAATGGAGCCTGAACCTTGTCCGACCACAGGATTGTTGGGAACAGATGCTAATGACCACGTTCACCTTCATGAACACATGCACACTGGAAGGGAAGAACGGAAACTATTTACGTATAACTGTTCAATAGTAATGCATATTTGTCACGATGCATGCTGCACTTCAACTGTATTGTAACGCCACGTATTTTTGGCGACACATGCTGCTTTCAATGTTCAATTATATGTCCAAATGATATTTTACTCATCTTTATAATTTTTTTTAAAAAGCCTCCATTGCATGTTAAAGTTTAGCGTTATACACCGACCGTACTGTTCGCAAACCAAAACCCATTAAATTAAAACATTCAGAACATCACTGTACAAGCAACTTCATCTTGACATCAATTGTCATTCGGGTATTTGCTATAGCTGTAATTATATTAGTTTCTGTTCACATTTCATGGAAATCAATATGGTTTTGTTATGTCTGACATTAACTTCATGTTTGTGATATGATAATGGAAGTTTGGGTTATGTTTAATATTCCCTTCCAATGTATTACCACTGTTCATGCCGATACACATGACTATTATCCAATACCCGTCGGTGTTCATCATTGATCATCTGTGTGTTTGTTTACCTAAATAAGCTTACGGCTTAAATAAGCTGAAAAACTAACAACATTCCTTGTATGCACACATCAAGAAGTTCCATGCTTGTTTACTGGAAGAGTAAATCTTGAAGTGAATCTATTCATTCCTATCGATTTCATTAACCCCTTTCAGATCAAAGACACAAACTAACATCGATTCTAACCATTATGTTTCAGAAATGTTATTGAAAAATTAGGTGCCTAAGTTGTCGATGCTGAAATTCCCAGATAAATCTGAGTTGAAAATATGTAAGTAAACTGCTCCAAAATCACAATAGTCAATTTAGTATTTTTTACATGTCAGTTTTTGCTGGCATTGATTACGTCACGATGCATGCTGCACTTCACCTGTATTGTAACGCCACGTATTTTCGGCGACACATGCTGCTTTCAATATTCAATTCGATGTCTAAATGATATTTTACTCATCTTTTCAACAACAAAAAAGCCCCGAGGTCACTTAGTGAACCGCTAAGGTTCAGTTCACCTTCTGCTGTATTGTGAGTCATGCCTATACAAACGGCAAGTACAACTGGTTCATTCCAAGCTGCGGGGAGGTGGGGTAGCCTAGTGGTTAAAGCGTTAGCTCGTCACGCCGAAGACTCGGGTTCGAATCTCCACATGGGTACAATGAGTGAAGCCTATTTCTGGTGTTCCCCGCCGTGATGTTGCTGGAATATTGCTAAAAGCGGCGTAAAACCCAAACTCAGTCAGTCAGTCATTCCAGGCTTTTAACACTTGCCTGCTGCAATATATACACACCGTTGTATACAGATTGACCCTCCAACAGTAACACAGAGACGAGGTTACGTTGTACGGACCACGCCTTATATCCTCGACAAACTGCTACTTGGAAGCGGCATTGTATATAGAAGTACACGGCATATGTGCTGGAGGCAGTTTTAAGCACGAGAAAAGAACGAACCTTTGTTTACGCCAGAGGATACAAACATTATTCCATCGCTTTATCTTTCTGCAGACCATGTGGTCAAACAAATTTCTGACCAATAAGGATGACAAATAACTGACCATATATGTCCTCTTACGGCATCTTAACCAACGCAACTGAAGTAACACTGGGTGCATTGAATGTCAGTTTCATTCAATAAAGTGACACAGAGTCCCAAATGTTGATCTATGTTAAGAATCTGTTGGTGCTAAGACTCACCTTCAATGTCTCTCTGAGACGCCTTGTGCATGTTGACGTACCGGCAAGTTCACAATCAATGGCTTGTGGTCTATGATGGTTGGTGGGGTGATCCCAAGTAGGCCACCATATGTCCACTCATGTGGCAGTTTAAGGATTTTCTCACAGTACAAAAGTCTGGCTGTTTTCTTCAAACGGCAGGAGCCATGGACATTCACTTATTGCAGTGTGGTGACTTTAAAGCTGGACTACCTGTGTACGTCCTACGATGTACTTTACGAGGTCAGTTCAGAGTATAACTATACTCAACGATGATACAGAAATATGTTTGACGAATGATGGACAGAATTGTCACTTTTCGATTAAGACGGACAATTAGGGTTCTCGAGATATTATCTAATCACACTCGTGCATGATTCAATGACATATGCCAACTCTTTCCGGAAACCAGTTGGTGAACTGATAACTTCTCGAAGTCCACACTCCTCCTCATTAATAAACCAACGTGACAGAAAACAGCCGGAAATATCTTAGGTCCAGCTTTTTCATCCCTTTACCCTGGGGGAAAACCACTGGTAGCATCGATGGTAGTTACTCCATATATAGTCTCGAGAAGCCGATGGTGAAAGGTACCCAGCTATGGTGTTGATTCATCTCCACGTATTCACCGCATCAATACCGGACTTGTATTGACGCTACCGTGTCAGTGAGAGCGTACCTCTCGTGCCGCTATCACTCGGTGTTTAGTCAATAGCACAAGCTATGTGTTTGTATTTGGATTCATTTCGTGCCACCAATGAGAATAAAGTAGTCCGATAAATTGACAGCAGCCACACGCTTGTCTTTTAAGGAGCAATTTATCCGCACGGTGTTAGGCTGTTAATGTCGTGACGGGCTATCGCTTGGTGTTAAGATTTATTTGCTTTCCATTAACATACTGAAGATTTCTTACAATATATTAATTATACTATTTAAATAGAAACGACAAACCCCTTTCCACATCCGTAAGAAATCGGAGCTAAAAGCAGTCGATTGTACAATTCTGACCCTATCATGAGTCTGTGTTTCTTTGACGCACATTTAGGATTATTACACCTGTACGACGCGGTCTGTGAACAATGATAGCAATGAGTCTGGACCAGATATTCCAGTGATCGACACGGTACGATGACATAGCATAAGATTTTGGATTCCTATCAAATAGCAATGAAACCACGTGTTCGGGAAATGGTGATGGTATGATGACCCACCGATGGAAGCATCAGTGGAAGGGGTTGGTTGTTGTTTAACGCCGCACTAGGCAATATTACAGCTATATGCGGCGGTCTGTAAGTAATCGAGTCTGGTAATGTGCCTCCATCTATGCAATTGGTGTTATTTGATGATACTTGATGATAATTAAACGGATTTCGATTATCGGTATACCTGAAGCTAAGGCTCAACGTCTCAGGATCGTCACGTCGAAGGCCCGGGATTGATTCCCCACATGGATACAGTGTTTGAAGTCCATTTCTGGTGTCCCACGCTGTGATATTCTTGGGATATTGATAAAAGCGGCGTAAACGCCAACTCACTCACTCACTCACTCACTCAACATCTTAGCCAAAATACCTTGTTTTGATTTAACCAACGAGCGTAAAGAAACATATCTGCAAGGAAGGGAGCACGATTGGTGCCTATGGTGATGCTTACTCACTCACTCACTCACTCACTCACTCACTCACTAAAGTGGTAGCTTATGCAAGGGCTTCTCGTGCATATGTTATATTATGAGATGAAGAATTAGTCTGAGAATTAGTGCGGTCTACGGGCAATGCATTGTTGAGGCCATAACCCTTGTCGAAGGCGCGATCAACACGAAACACAAGTCAACTGTTTGTGATTCAATATCGCTTTCTACCCGTGGATGGTAATCAATTCATTTTACAACAACTAGTACGCATATAGCTCGTTGTCCATTCATTCGGATTGACTGTTAAGTATTAGTTTGTTTGTTCCATGCCACACTTATATGCCAGTGATCAACAGCATGAGCACCGGATTTGAATACATTGACATGTGTCAACCAAGTCAGCGAGCCTGACCACCCGATCCCGTTAGTCGCCTCTTACGACAAGCATTGGTTACTGAAGAACATTTCTAACCCAGATATTCAAAGGTATGTTGGCTATTGACATTTTGTCGTGACGCATGTATGACATAAACCTGTCAGATGCCAATTGTTGTTATGTATGCGTGTTTACTGATATATACAATTATTGGTAGTTCTGCTGTGTGAGGTCGGCCTAAACCGCAAATAAGTGAGTGATATCATGATCAAAATCACTCGTCAGGTTACAATGACACACAGTCAACTTAGTCATCAGGCCTGTCTACTCAATACAGATTGCCCCTTTAAGTATTTGTGTTGGGGCATATACACATTGACACATTTAATCAGTACAAATACTTCATGAGTCGCACGTCAGATATTTAATCACTGAGTATATGTATCGTAACTGTAAGCATTCGCAAACTAGTTATTCATTTCCCCAATAGTTTCATAATTTGCTTAAAGAAAGGGCATATAAGGTGCTTTGGTTGTTTATCTTTTAACACCTGCTGAGCTTTAAGCGCTGAGCATGATCTGTATGTTTCATAACGTATAACTGACTGACTGAATGACTGAGTTTGGTTTCACGCCGCTTTTAGCAATATTCCAGCAACATCACGGCGGGGGACACCAGAAATGGGCTTCACACATTGTACCCATGTGGGGATTCGAACCCGGGTCTTCGGCGTGACGAGCCAACGCTTTAACCATTAGGCTACCCCACCGCCCCCATAACGTATAAACGCATCCTGTTAGTATTATCAGATCTAACACTGTGAAGCTGTTAGCTCAAGCTGGCATCTGTTAATCCAGATATGCATTTCACACGTTTGTGCAATGCTGCAGTAGGATCAATACATATAGGTGTGTGGAAAAAACAGCTCTCACGTAAACAAAATCAGGCAACAAGTGCGCAAAGCCAAAAACGTAGTACCATCTGTTACTGTGTGGTTAACTGGTGCTACACACGTATACTAGTATATGAAACTTTTTTACAAAGTTCAAAGGTATATAGTGAGATATATTTAATTACAGTGGCAACAATACAGAGACAATTTCACTCCTACATGTTTTATTATTATCTTCAGGGAGGAAAAAATGTTTTACATACAGAGGTAAGTGTCGTCACTTACTGTAACGTCATACGCAAGGTGACGACATATATACTGTCGTTGTGCGTCGCCTATGACGACACTTAGTTTTCATTGTACACCTGAAGAGTCGTTGAACGGCGATAGATCTCGTGCAGATCAAATGTTTTTTGACAAGAAGAAATATATGGTCTCATCTATGTACTTGTTGCTTATACACCTGCAGAAATTATTTCTTTATGTGTGTGTGTGTGTGTGTGTGTGTGTGTGTGTGTGTGTGTGTGTGTGTGTGTGTGTGTGTGTGTGTGTGTGTGTGTGTGTGTGTGTGTGTGTGTGTGTGTGTGTGTGTGTGTGTGTGTGTGCAGTTTTTAACTTCATCTGCAGGGAGTTCATTAATCTACGAATACATCGACAATGTGGATAGGTGTCCATGCTTTAGCCATTTAACTGCACGACGAAAATGTGCCCTGTAACAAATTGCGCAAGAAGTTTCATTTGCCATTTACAATGCGAGACCAGGACATCATACACAGCGTATCTCTACAAGCTTTCTACCAAACACATACCACCTAAATAAATCATAATAGGACACAACCTCTTATTGTTCATATTTTCATACTATCACTCCAACAAATGAAGACAGCCTATTGGCTTTTCTTGATTGCTATGTGATCTTGATCTCTCCTGAGCAGGTCTTCTTCGTAGTGTCCACTAACTAAGATGTCATGCTTACTGTCATTCATGTCACTACTATGGTTTCAGTTCAAATGCTAATGTCGGATGACAATTAACCTTCTGCAGCGAAAACAATATATCATGTTTCTAAACACTATTTATTAATGTTTTCGATCTCACAACTTATACTCGACCTGTGGATATTACAAAGTCCATCTTCATGTTACATATGATTAATTCTGTTATGCAAGATGCTTACTGTCACATGAACTGGCAAACGAGCTGCAAGGGAGTGGAAAGCACCTGTGACATTTATAAAAATGTTATTCTGAGGCACAACATATCGAATAACCTCTGAGGCAGTTTGCAAACAAATACTTCAATAAACATTCTGAATATTCATAACCAACTAGTATAATTTGCTCAATGTTTGTCTATATCCATTACATTGCAATGTGATGTGCATTCTGAGTATTCAGTTTCATATCATCTACGTTTTACATCTACTGATTTGACTACATAATGGTTTTTCAGCATTTGACAATGAACATGCTCCTTATAGTTTCAATAGAAATGCATTCAGTGTACACGTCCCCAAGTATTGACCGGAATGGCAATGACTCTACTTATAACCAAGTGCTTGTAACATCATGAATTTCATCACGTGGTACCATCTGCTTTGATCGATTAACATTTGTGTCTAACGTTGCATATAATTAAACTTAATGAATATATCCTATGAGCATAATGGTTTCTATGATATTCATATCGTGATATGCAACCCAAATCGACACTATGAGAATAGAAATATCGAGCTAATGAACGTACATGTTTTTCGAATTTCGAATGTCAAGGAATGTTAAGTTAAAATTGACTTTTTGGTACCAATGCGACCAGAAAAAGGGATGTCACGTATGCGAATCGCAATGAATATGATATGTTTTTTCTATGTGGGAAAAATCCTTTAAGGTATTTCTAATCTTTCTGCATTCAGTTCGAACTTATTTCTTAAACATTACAAGTGTATTTTCGATTTGTTCTTTTATTTCATGCTTTCACAATACGCATCTGACGTCCGATGTGTGAGAACTTTTGTCATCTCCTCAGCGACTGTAATTAAGATCCTATCTAAAGCTGGAACCTTTAGTTCTTATGGAATGTTCTCGTCACGATTAGCTGAAATATTGCCGATGTGACGTTAAATAATAACTCACTCACTCACTCTTATGGAATGGAATCAATACGTTACACATACCTAAGCTGTTGCCGAGAGATAACATCAGCATGTGAGAATCCCCTTTAGCAAGTCATAAAGTGTCAGCAGATTGTCTTTATTGTAATGCCATATATCTCTCTTTCCAACATCCGTTGTCGTTTCTATGTAAGTGCTTTGCAAATAGTGGCCATTGATTAGCATGTAGCTAATCAAGTGTACACACCAGACATTATAATAACGACCTGGTTATTTGTAAGACAATATGACGTTGCAATGGAAGTCTATGTGCAAACATGTGGAACACTGTTTTGGATGATAAATTCTGTGTAAACACAATCCTACCACACATTCATGATCGTTATAGTGTACTTGATAATCGGTGTCACAAACTTGGAATCTTACGACATTTACTTCATTTAGAAGAGTATAACCCACACGCTTGCTAAACATGAACATACTAAGAGGGAAATGGAGGTTAATTGTTGCTTCATAAATGATATTTATATACATACGATGCAATATGATTGGGAATTCAGTATCAAACGCAATTAAAATAGCTCACCCTTCTAATTCTTCCAAATTTATAGTGGAGGACAGCTAAAACATATTCAAGAAATTCATCTGACATCTATGGGTGTGCGAAATTTGTAGGTATTTT